AGGAAAATCCTAAGCATTTCTGGGGTTATACTATCGAATGCTTCGATGACACTGTCCCTTAGTTCTTTTTCATCATCAAAGTTTTTTGCGTAGACAAAGTTTTTGATATATCTCCAAAGAACAAATCCAGCGGTGTCAAATCAGGCGACCGCGCCGGCTAAGGGACTGTAGAATGAGTACCAATCAATTTTTCTAAATAAAAACGCACGAACTTCTCTACAACTATGTGCCGGAGCGTCATCTTGTTGAATCCAACAATTCTGAACGTCCGCAATCGGTAAATTATCCAGATCTTCCTCGAGATGATTCTCAAGCAAATCTATATAACGTTCGGAAGTCAATGTTTCATGGTAAATCGAAGGACCAATAATTCGTGTATACCAAATATTGAAAACCACATATGAAAGTCGAAACGGTGTTGGTGTCTCGCTGTTTTGTATAAATTTTCATTTTCTCGTGACCGATAATGTGTATTTCTTCATCGGAGATACCATTATTAGTGACCATGTTTTCATCAGTCCAGATGATTCTTCGAGAGAATCTTCAAAATTTTGTCATAAATAAGTAGAACTGATGGCATTTTTCTTTTGGAATTTCGAAAAAACATTGATGTTGGCTAAAAATAGGTCGAAACACATTCAAACCACCTTGTATAATACATGGTTGAATTCAGAATGAAAAAACTTCCCAGAATCTGTGGAAACATTATGAGGACCGTATTTAAAAAACAAAAGTTGTTTCTACGAATACGAAACGTCTCATGACAAAAACGGTATCAATACGTTGAACGTCATCAAAAGTTGCTATGAAAAAGCATTTTCAGTTTTTCTGTATCTCTAATTATTACGGAGAAAAAAGGAATAGATATTCCAAAAATTCACTTTTGTCGATATAACTCAAAATCTGATTATACAGGGTGTTTCATAATTGAATGCTAATCCTAAAGGACAATAATCCTTGGATGATTTTAAGACAAATTCTTTAAGTGAACATAGGTCCGTAACCGCTTCCTTTCTGAGATACAGGATGTTGAAATTTAACAAAAAAATCAGTTATTCCCCAATATCTCTGAAACCGCTCAGGCTTTTTTCTTCAATTTTGGTACATGCCAAGTATGAATAGAAATACATTTTTTCCATAATAAAGGATATCTTAATTTCCATCAGTGGCGTCCCTGTTAACATACCCTGTCATATTTTTCATCAAAATAATGATACGCCACTGTATTTTTTCGAAATAAATATTAATTTTGTAATTATCCTCTATCTTCTCATGAGAATGGTCTCTTTTCTTTTTTTCGTCCGGCGAACGGTTTTTGAGTTAGAAAATAAAATGTATTTATTAGCTTGTCCCTATTCTATTTTCTCTTAGTCATAATTTCACAATTGTGGTAACAAAAAGATCTAAGCAATATTTCTTTGATTTTATGGTATTTATTTTTAAGTTTTTGTAATGAAGAAAAAAGCCAGAGTGATTTCAGAGATATTGGGGAATAACTGATTTTTTTGTTAAATTTCAACATCCTGTATCTCAGAAACGAAGCTGTTACGGACCTATGTTCACATGAAGAATTTTTCTTAAAATCATCCAAGGATTATCGCCCTTTAGGATCAGCATTCAATTATATGAAACACCCTGTATATAATTTTGAAAATGTTCGAAGGCTGTTTATATGAGCCTCCGAATGCGCAACTTTTTCTTCATTTAACCGACTTCGTATCTCCTACCGTTTTCGCGATCACCATGCTGTACCTTATCTCGGACAGACTCTATACATATTATGTATATACAGGGTGAGTTATAACTATTGGGACATAGGCTAAGGGCGGATTGTTTGGACCAAAATATGGCGATTGAGCCAAACATGCCTTAATTAAATATTGCTGAGAAAAGAGATACAGGGCGTTTGAGTTAATTTTTTTCGTTTTTTTTCGATTTTTTGCTAATAATTTTACTGTATATGAAATATATTTGGAAAAGTTTTGTGACTTGGTTGCTTTCTGTCTAGATATTAGAGATATTACAATTCATACCTCCTGGTTGCATCCCGCATCTATTCATTCTTTAAATGATTGTGACGAGACATTTCAATCGAAAAAAATTTGACTATAAACTTGCACCAGAATTCATTTTCTGACAAGAAATGTCATTACCAGCAACATTATCTGACAGTTCAAAAGCACACTCTTCATGAATATTTGTAATTACCTTCTGAGACTCTGAACTGTTCAATAGCGTTTTTCTCGAAAACGGATGGAAATATCGTGTTCAAACAGGAGTACCAATATCATGTAGAAATGATGTTTAGGTCATATTTTTCAATCAAAATCACTCAAAAGTTTCGTCAAAAAAAGTAACCAGGCGATTTCATCATCAGGAATCATTCACGTGGCGCCCCCTGTATCAAAATGTAGAAAAGTACATAAAATAATATTCCCTGTATGAAATTATGCCTCTGTGCCAATTTTGATAACAATATATGAATATATAGTGAAAATATTGGCAAAAAACGAAAATGAAAAGTCAACTTCAACGCCCTGTATCTTTTTCCACAGCAATATTCTATAAAAGCATATTCAGTCCTATTGCCATATTTTGGTCCAAACAATCCGCCCTCAGCCTATATCCCAATAGTTATGACTCACCCTGTATACATATTATTTAGTACAAAGATATGATTATTATGTGGACTATGAGATTTTAGAGTAACCGAATATTTTTTCTAGGTTATACTGTCTTTTGGAACTATACTGAATGCCTACAATGTCATAGGAAGTATAAATATAAGAGAAACTGCCTGGCACATATTAGATTCCAGTGCAACAAAAAACCGCAATATGTATGCAGCATCTGCAAAAAAAGTTACAAATTCAAGAAAGATATCATGCGACACCATTCGGAAAAGCATCTACAGTTTCCCCTTACTTATTAATACTTATTTCTCTACACTTCACACTATTATCCAGAAACTCAACATTCCACAACGTCAAATTGTTTCAGAATAAACGTGATTCTGATTGTGTGTGTCACAATAATATATATTATCATACAAGTTTTATAAAACATCATTTTCTCGCCCGAGTTGTTTGGAGTTCGACGAGCGAAGCACGGAGTGCTCAAAAAAACTAGTGGTCTTTGCTAGCTTAATGTTGCTAGAAGAACCAAATTTCAAATAGATGAAATATAAGGATATTTGATACTCTCTAATTTGGGGCTCCATGTTGAGCAGATCATCGATTCTTCTGTTATTAAATTTTTGCAAAGGTTTTCGAAAAAATTGAAGATAAAAAATCAAACCACTGGCGAATCAATATGAAGTTCAATGACGAAACTGAGAACGCCTTTATTAAAGCCTAATCTGAGGCTCAAATCCTAGCCTTTGACCAGAGTTTTTGCACGATGTTTTCTCTATATCATGGGTTCTTCTATAGCTTAGCCTTTCTGATAATTAATATGATGTATTATGATATTAAAATACTACTTACCAATATATTCAGTATTGAAATGAAAATTGAAATGTGTAGGAGAAATATACTTGTATAAACTTTGATCTTGTTGAGCTTGAAACATCCAAAAAAATTATTCGTATTAGTGATATTGGAATTGTATCTGTCGCAAACAGGTTATATGAATTTATTCGAATGAACTCATTTCAGATTTCAAACCCTCCTCAGTAACCTGAAGTCCAGTTATTCTTTTTCAGCCATTCTTCATGATACACACAATGTTCATCTCAATAATCTGTAACTAAAACTATAACGAACTAAATCTGAGAAATATTTGTTAACATTCAATTCCTGTCATCTAGTTGTTTTTGTTCTTGTTTCCTTCAAATCCCATGGGTTTTTCCATAGCTAAGCCTTTCAGCTAGCAGAACCAAATCTCAAATTGTGGAAATGTGAGTATATTGAGTATACCATAATTTGAGACTATTTCAAGGCTCTTCGTTAAGCCTTTTTCACTTTTCTGTTGATCGTTTTTCCCAATAACTTTCACTAATCCAACATGAACATGACAAACCAATGACAAAAAAAAAATTTAATGTCACAAAACTGATAAGGTTTATCATAATATAAGGCTGATTTGAGGATTCATAGCCTTGAATCAGCTTAAATTATGGAATACTCAGTTATGTCATTCAACTTTCTCAATTTGTCATTGCTTCATGCTCATGTAGAAATTGTGGATTTGTTCAAAAAAAATTATCATCGAACACCCTTAAAATAGCTCTCAACCATGATGTACTCAATATTGTTACAATAATTTCCTCTATTTGGAATTTGGTTCTGCTAGTCTAACGGTTGAGTTAGCAAAATCAATGATATCATTCGAAAAACAATATTGGCAATAGGCTGGGATTAGAGCCATAAATTAGCCTGAAATTATGGTATAATTAGTTTTGTGATCAAACTTTCACTAACAATTTTGGCATAAATCGAAGAGCAATAAACTCGTCAATCTGGTAATAAATTAGCGATAACTCAGCCTCAAATTATGGTCGATGAAAAAATATGAAGATCAAAAGTGGTTCTGCTAGTTTAATAGAGGTTCACCTCTTTCGAATCTCTCAAACCCCACTACTTTCTTTCGAACACACCAGTATGTATGCTAATTTTGAACTTCACTACTGGTCGGTAATGAAATTTATCGCCTTACTGAATCGAAAGTAGTCGTTCGCTCCATCTTTCGAAGGACCAAAGCTTTCCATTTATTCCCACAGAAGGAGAAATTGGCTTCAGCATGCTTTTTTAATATCGATATGCCTATAAAATCCGTACAATCCAAGTTGATCATCATCTTCATCACTATTATGAAAAAAAATGTCTTCTCATAAGGAATTATTTGTAGGAAGTGGTAATATAAATATAGGTAGTTCCTCTAAATTTTTCGATTGTTCCAAAATGTCCTATGCTTTAACATTTTATAATTTTTTTCCTGGTATAATTTGAACAGATTTATTCGTAGTGTGAAAATAATGCCATTTTTCCTGACAAGTGAAAATGACTGATTATAGATTTATATATTTTGTAGGTAACGTCTGGACCGAGAAACCTTCTATTTTCCAGAATGTAAGTCAAAGTCTAATCTTGACAAGTACTGCCAATTCGTTATGTTGATTTTCATTCTAGGGACTCGAAGAATTACTGAAGCAAAGCCCTGATGGTTGTTTCGTTTTGAACAATAAACATAAATTAGACAACAACTGTCGTCAGAAGTTAGTCAAACTCATAATTGACTACCTGTTTCAAGATCAGTACAAACATAGGTGAGTGCTCTAAGATCACAGCCAGCAGAGGAAGAAATAGTATCATTGATATTGGTGTTGATTTTTAGATTTCCTGGTATTTTACTTGAAGCTGCTGAGGAAATTGTCAGATTGTTTCCTGCTGAGAGAACTACATCTTATTTCATTCCATATTCTCAGCAACCCAAAGGTCCTAATCAACGGAAATCTCCTGCTAGAGGGAAGCTTTATTCCAGATATGCTAACATAAAAAGAGCCTTAACTCTGTCTATGGCTGGAACTGAACAGGGCAAAGGTACTGTCGAATGTGTTTTGTTCTTTGGATTCTGATTTTTCGATTCTATTGGACCGTGAAGTAATTTCTTTGATCGTCAATCATTCAATAAGAAAAATCTGACAGGTTCTCATTCAATTGTTTTGTTCAATTGAATTGGAGCTCTCTCCGAATTGTAACGAAGTCTGTTCTCTGCGAGTGTTAATTTTCGATCTGCTGTTGCTTCGGAGTAGATAAGCTATGAGGGTTCGGGACCAGAATCCTATCTATCTTCTCATGGAGGTTCAACCTGGTCGAAATTGAACATACTGTGGCATAGTCAATGTGGGGCAAGTGTATCGTGTTCGTCACTAGGGCAAATAGTTTCAATCTTCAATGAGTGTTTGTCATTTGTTCTATCCATTCACATCTTATAATCATTGGAGTTTTATTCACACGACTCAGGAATCGTATAATGTAATAATGAGATTAATCCTATCTTGAATCGATCACTTTCCAGTCATTTATGTTTGATATAAACATTAACGTTCATACCAGCATTTCGTTTTTTGTTTATCGTATTTTTACTTCGTACCCATTGATAACAAATTCGTTGTTTTGCCATCGGTTTCATAATGCCTGACAAAATTCGGCACATCTCTGGGATCAATGGATACATTTTCTTATAAGAAACGATTAGTACCAGAAGAACTTTGGATTCATACAATAAATAAATATCATGTCATGAACATAGAGTGAATATTCAATTAGAACTAAGGTCGAGAGGAGATGATGGATGGTTTTTCTTCAGGTTAATGTCAGTAACTGATAGGTTGATTATTAATCGTTTCGATTATATAATGTCGAATGATTTAAGTAACCCCTTCCATCTTCGATTCAACACCTTGCCCCATATTGGTTCGCTTCCTTCTACACAAATGCCACTTCGACTCTGCACCCAGAGAATATTCAAGTTTGACCAGTTCGAACCTTCTTGAAGAAATCTATGAGATTTTGATCCAGAACCCCCATAGCATATCTACTCGAAAGATCTTTATTCCCATGTTAATTAACATGTCCCTGTATATGAAATTTCAGTGATTCTTTTGAGTTGACTTGCTTTATTTTCACAAGTATATCTACTCAACTTCGAGGTATTTTTTTATGCTCAAGATTTTTAGTAATTGTGAATTCAATCTGCTTGAAGATGCACAGGAAAACATATTGGGTTCACTAATTATATCTGATTCAAATGAATCCTTCATTCCTATATGGCGAAAAAACATATTCTTTGATTGGAAATATCAAATTATTTGATGGACAATGCAGATATTCATTTGATTCTAATGTATGTGGCATCATGAAGTGTGAACATTGTTTCACTTGTAGAATATATTTACTTGAAGCAATTGATTATTTTCCAGAAATGAGTTGATACAAATAATCTTTTCATATTGTTCAAAAACATAATATTCATTGAAATCAAGAGACCTTTACCATTATAAAGCTCTTGAAGATAAAAAAGAGTATGGTAGCAGATGTGAGAAGGAATATCTATCACCTTATGGTATCTGTTCAAAAATATAAGAAAATGGCTTCTTGACATTTTCATCAGCAAAAATGCTTTATTAAATATGTGTGTACAGGGTGCCCCAAAACTCGACGTCATCCTTTGGAGGATTAATAGTCCAGCTCATTACTGACCGGAACCAGAAAATCACAAAATGACCTCAGTGAAATATTGATAGTTCTAGAGATATTGGCACTTCCATGAATTTCGTGAAATTCGTAACCTTTAATCAGTATGTCGAGTTCGGCAGGTACAAAACTCTATAGTTTGAGATTCTAATTTATGTTATGCAACCTGTAATTCATTTCACTGAGCTTACTTAATAAAATACTGTGAACAAAATCATCATGCTAACATGGCACATTAGAAAAATTGCATATTCACTATTCAGTGTAGTTTCTGATATGGTGACATCAATATTCTTTCACAAGGAACCTATTTCGAAATTATTTCGAACATGAGTGTGAGTGGCAGCGACTTGATTCGAAATTCATAAAAGTGCTAGTATCGCGGAAAGTATCGATATTGTACAATGGTCATATTGTGATATTCTGACGTGTCATGAGCTGGACTATCAGCCCTCCAAATGATGATGTTTAGTTTTGGGACACCCTGTTTATATATAAAATATGTCCCAGAACAACGTACCATTAATTCTATAGGGTGAACTAGAGGCCAAAATAGGCCGATTGAAATCAACTTACCTCCATACGAAAAAGCATAGTAGTGCCGTGGGAGGACGATGAAGAACAATTTTGTTTCCAGATTTTCTTCAATATTCCGAAATCCTTGGAAGGACCTGCTCTGAAATTCACAGGTCATTTCACTATAGTGAATGTGCATGGAAAACATGTCGTATCAATGCATTCTATATACAGGGAGTTAGGTATTTCGCATTCTCTTTGATAAAAGTCAATGTAACTTTTTTTAAAGTTGAGCACTGACCAAATTTTGATATTTCAACAAATGACAAAATCAAATATCTCACTTTTTCCTAACTGCAGTTTTTTCACAATGATCCTCGGTTTTCGAGATAAATAACAACATTTATTGTGGTGCTTCTCTATACTACTCGTTTATGATGTTAGAATTATCATGTTTTGCTCATTTCTACCTCATTTGTGTTAAGTTATCGACTGCGAAAATCATGTTCACCAAGCTCTTTATCATGATTTGAGAGCTGGTCATTTCCAAATATTAGTTCAGGATTTCTGATGAAAATACTTTATTCGCTAAAAAATACATTTTAAGATGACCACCAACATTATCTCATGCTGAAGTAGTTTATGAACATTATAATTGTGGTCAATAACTCAACACAAATGAAGAAAGAACTTGCAAAACACGATGATTGTCATTATCATAAACAAGTATGGGAGAGCAGCAGAACGAATTTCGTTATATATCTCGAAAACCAAACAAAATTTCAAAAACACTCCACTAAAAAGGAAGTGAGATAACTGATTTCTTCATTTATAGAAATATCAAAATGTTGACGGTATTGAACTCCTAGAAAAGTAACATTATTTTTTATTCAAGAGAATGCGAGATTCCTAATTTCCTGTGTATCGATTGAATTGATACGACATGTTTTCCATACACATTCACTTCAGTCAATTGCCCTACGAGTGTCAGAGCAGTACCTTTGAAGGATTTCGAAATATCAAATAAAAACTATATAATATTATGCTTCATCGCCCTCTCAACATGTCGCCTAAATATATCCTTGAATTCAAATGAATTCAATAATTCTCTCGAATGATACTGTTATTAAACACAAACAAATCGATTCATTCGATTGGTAGGATGTTTCATTCAAATGTTATGTAGATCAAGCGAATGAAATTCAAATGAATCCATATTCTCAATTCAAATAACGACTTACATCTGTGTGCCAGGTAATTGAATTTGTACGCCATTTGATCACGAATAACATTCATTTCCAGTGTCTTTACCGCAATCACACATTATCAGCGAGAAAGAGAAAGCAAGCTATATTGCCGTTCAGCAATCTGGTAATTCTTACGACGATACTCTGATGAACTGGAAACTATCATTCAGAGTTAGACAATCTAAGCTGAAGACATTTGAAACGCCGCTTGCTTACTTCAATGCATTTCCGGCTTTGAGACAGCCTTTTGGCTACCATCTGGTGAGTTCACGTAATATACCCATATTCATAATTTTTTTATCGTGTTGAGACAATTGCTGGTTCATTCCATGTTAAACGTGTGTCCAGACTTATTCCTCTGAATTCAGATCTTTTCCTCTGAATTCAGATTCCTTTATTCAAATTCAGAATACTTTCTCCGATTTCGGACTTCTTTGTCTGAATTCAGATTTTTACATTTTCTGATTTCGAACATTTTTCTCTGAACTTAGTCATTCTTCAGACTTTTTTCTTCGAATTCGGTATTCTTGTCTTATATGTATGTGTAAACATGGTGTGAACGCTACAAAATCACGATAGCGTATTCCTTGCAGATGAAATAAAGGTCCTCACAGGCATATTTGTATTGATGAGAAATTAACATGGGAAAAACATATCCTCATAGAGAAATTATCTCCCATTATTGGTGATTTAAGAAGATGTCCTAAACTTAGTACATATACATCAAATATTATTCTCTATTCATTACTCAGTCAAATTATCTCATAAATATCTGGGGATATTATTCCAAAAATAGTTCCATCAAAATTCTTGTTCTATATAAGAAGGCATTGAAAGAACTGTATCGTGTTTCATATGATACTACAACAAATATCACATATAGACTTTAGATAAATTAGAAATTCCCAAATTCATGGTCATCACACTAGACAATATAACTCGTTTCATCTTGGAGCCGCAAATCCATAACTTGGTCAAAAAAAGTTTACACATGAGGCTTCTGAATTCAATAGATTACCAGATATCAAGAACAGCCCAAATATTATACAATTCGAAAATAAAGTGGAGAAATACATTTTTATGCGAAGGAATGATCAAAGCTGAAAGACTTCATGAAGTGTCGTTCACTATTCTCAATTTCAATTATTCAACAGTCGATAATACTCAATGAATGATCTTATATCAGAAATTACTGTCTGATCATACATGTCATTCTTACTAGAAAATTAATTTCACTTTATATATTATTTGTATAAAATGTATCAATGAAGGAAAAATGTAACGCAATGACTAAAATAACCCATGTTATACAGGGTGCCACCCCTGAAATACATTTCATAACTGTTATATAGACGCTATGAAGGAATTGATGAGCACATCCAATTCTGGTACATCTATGAAGTACTTTTCATTCATGAACACATCATCATCAGCTTGAGAACAATATCAGTACCAAAATATTCTCGCAATCGACAAATAAAATCATCGGAAACTGTGGGAAAAAGTCTTCGATATTACATTCATGCCCACTTTTCGAGATCAAATTACTAATTCATATCACACCTTCAACAGAGTCACTATTTTTCACGACGTTGTGATCATACAAAATGCGTTCCTTAAGTATCATCCTGTATAGCAAACGGAGCGTCTCACTTCATTCTTTACGCATAAGGGAATACGCGTACACCCTGTATACATACATGGCAGGAAAGTCTGTATTCAAAGAATAATGTCTGAATAGAGAAATAAACTGAAATTCACACAACAGTGGCCTTCCTACGTCCTATATTCAATTCTGAGATGAGAACAGAGAAATAATAAAAAATATGTCATAGAAATCCTAACTTTTCAATGTATTATATAGATGTAGGGCAACTTTGAGGAGTGGACTTAGGCAGGCAACGCCCTGCCCTCTGTAGGCCACGCCCCTTTTGATCCAGCTCACCCTAAACCTACTACTCATTTAACTATTGAGATTTCAATGTTTGAATTAATTTGAAACATATGATCGTTCTCCAAGTAACTTGCTGCAGTGCTTTTGTTGTCTATTGCAGCTCACGAATGATTTCGGAATGAAATATCCTCACGCTAAAGATATATCTTTGCATAAAATTTGGCCAAGAATCGGTTCAATAATCATCGATCTCCTGAAGAAGAGACAGAGTCAACTACCTGATTTGGCATGTTTGCCACTAGATATGCACGTACAGTCAGTGAAACTATTCCCGTATCTATTCACCCCTGCTCAGGTGCGGCTCAATTCAATGAAAAGGATGGTCAGGATGTCGAAATCTGATATGTGCGATAGATTCCTTCTTCAAGTCACGGTAAGAAAATTATGCATTCCGTAAGCTAGTGTGAAAAGAGTAATGGTGTACAAATATATGAATAATTATTATTTGATCAGTGCACTGAAAATATTTGAAGAATATTCATATATTTTTTCAAGATGAGCGATCATGGTGAGATGTATTTAGGAAAGTTGAAATGTAACTCAGAAACTGCATCATGTGATTCAGATTAGTGCTCTGTATTGTAAATGTCTGAAATACATAGTGCTTCATTTCACGACAGGTATAGCAGAATAACTTGAGAATGACGTCAAATTTCATATACGAATATTCATAGAAGTCTTCTCAATATTTGTACCTACAATGTCGTACTTCTTCATTCCGTGTAACCACATAAGAGAATCATTAGTTTTCTATTCCTTGTTCATTCAACGAAATTACGTTTTTTAACAACGTACTTTTTGCCAACTTTCGTTACATTATTATCAATATACTTCGTATTAACGATGTTTATGAAATTTTGATCGTTATTGACTCCTATCAATGGTCAAATTATCTATTAAGGCACGATTATAGCAAAGGTAACCAAACATACACCTCGTCCATTCACTGTATGTGCTATGATAACTCACGTAATCTGAATTTGAATCAAAAATATGGATTTTAGTCTTCCCAAATTTCTGAAACGATTTTTATTCCGGTTTTCTATCACAATGTTGATTATTTCGAGAAATGTCAAATTTCACTGATATGAGTGCGACAAGGCTACTGGTTCATTCTTAGTAGTTTCCTGATGAATGATGAATTCGCGAACCAAATTTTGTTCATTGCAGGAGAAATGAGAAATATAGTTGACAGAAAAATTTTGTAATCACGCTCCCGCATTGCTCGCACGTTGAAATATCTCGATCATTTATCGACCTCATCAATTCACTAGTTGGTTGAATAACTATTAGTGTGTTTACATCTCGGTGGCGTAGAAATAATGATATACGTGTTATTAATAATTGTTCTGCGTGCCATCCAGGAAATGATTTGAATATTAACTTATATCACATGTTCATATTACTCTTTCTGAATTTCAATCAACATACCTGTTCACATTATGCTTCCTTCATTACAAAAAACCATTCTGAAATCCAAGCCTCATTTTTTGAATCACAACAGAGAGAGGTGTTGAGTCATTAACATTATTTGTGATAATGACACAGTACTGTATCAGTCAGCAAGCTGGCTGATGTGACCTAGCTAGGACTCATAAGTCATACTCGGTCTGCTGACAGTTGGGGAAATTCAGTGCTACGGCTGTAATAAGCAGAGATATCGTGAGCTTCTCATGATCTACAAAGCGCAGATACGGCCTGTTCTAGAATACTGTTCCCACATATGGGGTTCAGCACCAAAACATACGCTGATGCTCTTAGATTCCATCCAGAGAAGAGCCATCCGCCTGGTGGGTGACGCCACACTCACTCACTCTTTGACATCATTGAAACACCGTAGAAAGGTCGGCGACCTTTCACTTTCCTATCGATACTTCCACGGGAAATGTGCTTCGGAAATCTCTGCTATCATCCCTTCACTAGCAATACCAGTCAGACGAACTAGACAAGCCCAGTCAGCACATCCTTTCGTTGTCAAGCTCGAAAGATGTCGAACAGCACTTTATCAAAACTCCTTCATCCATAGAACGGCTAGGCTCTGGAATTCATTGCCTGAGGAAGTATTCCCAACAACATATAATCTCCAGAAGTTCAAAATAAATTCCAATACCTACCTCCTATCCCTATCCTTCCTAGGGATTCCCTTTCGTGCGCTCCAAGCGATAAAAAAAATGTCATTCGGATCTGATGTTCATTCTGGTAATGAATAGTGATCGATAGATTCATACGGATCAATTTTCAGAACAGAATACGAGCCCTAAATCAACATTAAAAATTCTATATAGCGATAGTCCTCTGTTCACTATGATGATGAATTCCAATTTTGAACTCATGGATTACTCATACAGTGTGTCTCACTTCTATTGGAAACACCCCTGTATCGTATGTAATCGTTGGGTAAGGATCCTGAAATTTTCTGGGAACGAAGGATATTCCAAAAATGCACTCTATGCCCAAGTAGGGCCATCTTCAGTGATATACACTGGTCGCCAACAGCCATGGAACCACCTCAATTCTTGGAAGATGATATTATAGTAGTATATATAGAGTCAAAATCACTGAACTATAACCCTACAAATGGAATGCTGATACAGCTACCTGCGCGTGAATATTTTACGCCTCCCATGGAGATCATGACTTCAAGGTTCTGCGCCGATGCAGTAGAACCAAGATATGAAACGAATGTCCGTGATTATCGAAATTGCTTACAACCGCAGACGTATGTCGTTGATTAGGTGTGCTCCCATCAGGAGAGGCTCAGATAATTTTGTGCCCATCATCTTCCACGCCATTATTATTGTTCGTTGTCATATGGTTTTTATTTCCATTGTTTCATTGTTCATGATCGTGTTTGTGTCCTGGTATTTGGATTGTATTTTGTTCGTTTATATGTTCGAGTTGTGACCGTGATTTCGGTGACTTCTCATTCAAAAGACTATTATTTAGACAATATGGGTCAGGGATGCATGATGTTCTACCTACCGTAGAGATATACTTGAAAATAAAGTTGTATCACCTTGAAAGCAGTGCCGGATTTATACTCCCTTACGCCGGGGGCTAACTTTTACGATGCCGCCGCGCCGCCGCCAAATATTAAATTTCAATTGTCAGTTTCAAAATTCAAATAATCCTTTCACTGTTTCTTCACAGCATATAACAATAACATGAAATCATTATGTACAACGAATCAAATTATATTTACTTCACACGTTAAACATAACAACAAACAACAATTTTTTTTTTAGATGAATACTAAAATACTTTTCATTTTTTTGATGCAAAGTCGTCAATGGCATCATTAAAATTCAGATTTAATAACATGTCACTGTTAATACTTAAAATTGATGAGATATTCAATGTATCCTCTACCATGGAGTTCCTAAGGTAGTTTTTCACTCTTTTCAAAGTTGAGAATGACCTTTCACCACTGGCATTAATAATCATCAGGGATAGTAAAAAACTGCTCAGTAATTGCCAATATTCAATGAATAAAGAATTTGTTGTGGTTATCCCTGAAACAACGCTTAGTCGTGTTCATATTTCGCTCATCTATTTTTGAGATTCTAACTCTTCTTTTTCGCGTATTGAATGTAAAAATATATAGAACTTACCATCCCCGTCTTGAGATCGTGAAGTTCCTGGAGACGGTTCTGTCGGTTCTGATTCTGTCTCATTCGAATTTAGAAAAAAATGAATTTATTTTAGGGCTTTTCTTGACAACTTCGTCTAACTGCTTCTGTTTATTGATCTTCTGAATGCACACCTTCTTTTTCACTCATTTTTTCAAATTTCAGTTTCAAAATTTATCCATTATCAGTACCATTACCAACAATACCAACGACAACCTATCGAATACTGAACTCTGATTTTTTGTTGTTGTTGAGCTTTTGTATTGTAGCGTCCAAGACACAGCTGACGCTAGATTAGTGCATGTTATGATTTTCACAAAAACAGTATCTCAAACAAGTCCTTCCGATGAGGTGCCGACTGCCAGCGGTAGCTAATTGCGTGTTTGCTTCAAAAGGCGACTAAAGAGGCGGGATATGAGAAGCAAGAAGCAATATAATATATTTGTCGCCTCGTCGGCGACGACTGTATAACTTCTTCCTTTTTCTCTTTTCTCTATTTCTCTACCGCCCCTTGAAATTCACCGCCGGGGGCTGATAGTCCCATAGCCCCCCCCCTAAATCCGGCACTGCTTGAAAGACAACAAACTGAGTTCATGAGAGGGCTGACAATTCGACAAAAAATAAACAAATTGGTGTTATTTTTCCACCAATAATCCATAACTATTGTGACAGAGTTTCAAAAAAATTGTCATTTTCTCTTCTCTAGATTTTTAGCTCGGCAAAATAACGCTGAAGTATTTTGTGTTCAAATGTCATTATTTGATGACAGTGTTCGAAAAACGTAAATTCTCATAGTATTATACATTATGATTCAAAACTCGGCAAAATAACGCCGAAGTACTAATTTATTTATTTATTTATTCATCCAAACAGGCCTATGGGCCTAATTACATGGATTACATAAATATAAAATAATTACCCATCTGAAGTGGCTGATTAAACCTAACAATAATCAATTCAAGTAAGTACAAGATAATATACCTTATCATTACAAATAAGGTTACATAACAGAAAAGTGGAAAACAAAGGAAAAAAAAAGAGAGAAGAGAAATGTAGGGATTCTTTTCCAAAATCAAACTGATAAATCGAGAATGACATTTAAGATTTCTCTGCGAAATGTAGTTTCAGGGAGCGACCACTCAAATGAAATTAGAGTGTTATAATGGTTAGCCAGTCGAAGCATGATTAAAAGAGGGGATTTAGATAACTTCCTAAGAGGTACATTGAGCAAGCGTGAGGATCGAGTACGGCGAGGAGGTACATTAAATGGTAGCAAAGCAAGAATGTCGGGGCAATCAATCTTACGTCTCTGATCCAAAGATAGTATTTTAAAATGTGATCTGATCTCAGTTGTTCTAACTGTCAGGTAGTCAGGCCAGACGTGGTACTCCTTGTAATATAAATATCTGAGTAATTTATTTTGTACTTTTTCTATTTCTTTCAATGCAGTTGTACCTTCCCCCATTCAAATTATCGATGCAAATTCAATCTTCGGTCTTACTAAAGTATAATACAATATTTTAACATGGATATTTTTAAATTCATAAGTTTGCCTTATAATATATCCTAGAACACGGTTTGCAGACTTGCGAACATGTTCCAAATGATCGGAAAAAGAAAAAACGCTATTATAGTTTACACCGAGATCCCGCATCTCCTTTTTTCTCTCTAAAGTTTCTCCATTCATTTCATATTCAAAACCTACTGGATCTTTAGTTCTAGTTCTCGTTATAATGCCACATTTATTCAAGTTGAAATACAACCTATTTTTATTGCTCCATTCAAATATGCTATCTAGGTCTTTTTGCAACTCAACACAGTCCCTTACCGTTTGTACTTTTTCGAAAACTTTCAGATCATCTGCAAAAAGTAAGCAACCAGAGTTCACAAGGACACTTGGCAAGTCGTTGATAAATATTGTAAACAATAATGGTCCCAAATTGGAACCCTGCGGTACTCCAGAATTTGCCCCAGACTGACTTGATACAGTACCATTATGTCTGACGAAAAAATATCTATTTCTCAGATAATTTCTCATCAATTCCAATATATTCCTTGCCAGTCCATATTTACCTAACTTTTGTAGCAATATATATCATGGTCCACTTTATCGAACGCCTTGCGAAAGTCCGTAAAAACAGTGTCCAACTGTAAATTTTGTTCAAAAGTCTCATATACATTGTTACTGAACAAAAAAAGATTTGTGTTTATCGATTTGGTAGCCATGAAACCGTGTTGCTGCGGTGCTATATACTTTCTGATATACTGGTACAATTTGCTATGGAAAATTTTTTCAAACAGCTTGGCTGGAGCGCACATAATTGAAATAGTGTTCAAATGTCATTACTTGATAACAGTCTTCGAAAAATGTAGATTCGCACACTATTATACATTATAATTCAACATACTTCAATGGGCAAGAAATAATCGTTCATTGGCGAAACCGGCCCTGGTTTCAATATAAGTGCTCATGCTCAAAACCTTAAATCCGCCATGTCTGCGCGAGGTTCTAATGAGCGATATCATGCATCGGCATTCCATTTGTAAGGTTATAGTTCAGTGGTCAAAATAGGATGAAAATCATATCGGATTCGGAATCAGGACGGCGAATTCACTTACAATTGATATTTTTCCTGAGAATTCCTCAGTTCTGAAAAATGTATTTTTGTCTCATGAATACACCCCCGTATCTAACGAAATCGTTGGGTAATGAGCTTGACATTTGCTGGAACGAGAGGTATACCAAAAATGTACTGTATGACCTAGTGGGGTTATCTTTAGTAATATACACTGCTAGCCAACAGCCGTGAACTACACACATGTTCGAAAAAAGAAGAAAAAGAACCAAGATAGCCAAGATAGGTAGAAAATAACTTCGGATTCGAAAACAGGAGATCTGATTCACTAACTTTCAATATTCTTCCTGAAAATTTTCAGTTCTGAAGAATTCATTTGAGGACATTTTTGGTATATCTCTCGCTCCAGCAAATTTTAAAAATCCCAACCCAACGATTTCGTTAGATGCGGGGGTGTTTTCGTAGAAAGTGAGACAAAAATGAATTTTCCAGAACTGAAAAATTCGCAGGACAAATAACAATAGCTAGTAAATTCGGCGTCCTGAATCCAAATCCAAAGTTACTTTCATCCTATTTTGACTCGTCTTATAATTTTCCGGAAAGTGGGGTGGTTCCATGGCTGTTGAGGTTCGATTCAGAATCAGTTGAAATATACTATAGCAATTACCAGTAGAAGGAATATTATGGATTGCAAACTTTATATGGAGAAAATATATTCAAATTCAGAATACGATAAATATAGAGAAATGATTCTAATTTATTCTCAAACTGTATAATTCACCAAGGTTCTCTAGATAGTCTAATAGTTGGTGATCAATCTCCGTTCCGGTATAGCCATAGAAATCTTGTTCGAGTGACGCATTATTCATAACCAGGAAGTCGTTAGTTTTCGTTTCTTCTATGAGTATTATCAGTTTGAAAATGAACAACTTAGTCATTGAAAAATCTTAATCGTTTCAGATCCCTTGAAACAATTGGTGAAAGCTTTCTTTTGGATAACTCATCAAACCATTCGAAAAACAAATTTCTCTGTACTCTGCTCATGCTCGTTATGAAATATTCAATAGCTCAATAACTGTAAATAGAAAATTTTCCACAATGTGGTGAAATGTTATGTTCCAGGACTTCAGTCTACTGGACATAAAAATAGCAGAAAGAAAGGAACAGCTGAAGGAAACTTCAACAACCATCCAACCATTCATGGTAGCAGTAGGTCCACTCACAAGAATCGAGGCATATTTCGTGGTACTTGATTACCAAAAATACTTGGTGAACGATTGCATTTCAGCTATGGATGCAGCCTTCAAGATTTTCCATGCACTCGATCTACCATATCCGATTGAGACCAAAAATATGTGGCAAACCATTGATCATTTAGTTTACAAGGTTTCGAATTTTCTGGATCCGAGTGCTAGTGTAGTCATTGGCGACATTGAACACGAACTAAATTCAAATAAATCATAAGTTGATTGTTAGTGTAGAGTAAATGCCCAGTTTGCACAATGTAATTCACATCTGGGATATTCTCCGAGAATATTTTAACACATTAGTATTATAGGTACATTAGTATTAAGGCTAAATATAGATCCTACTATAGAGAACGCAGCCAGCTCATAGTGAATATTACATACAATAATAACATCAGTATCATATTTCGATACAGTTCTGTATATTCCCAGAGAATATGTCGAATTGAATATCCATAGAATGTATGTTGCTGGATGAAAATATTTTATGATCATTTCAAGAACATTCTATCAGAACATTTTAAAATAGGTAGGTTAACTTGACCGTTATCGGAATATTCTGTGCTTTTTTGGCTTAGCTTTTTTGTTTCAAATACCATTTAATATTATTCATAACCCTAAATATCTGTTCAATGTTCAATCATCATACCAATCGGCTTGAACCCTATAAACTCTATGAAAAAAAAAATTTTAGGTACCTACATTCAATCTTCTTTTGGGATTCAGTTAGATTTTTTTAATGTTGAATTGTATGTGTAGTAATAGAAACGAACTGTATAATTAGACAATTAGAAATAGATTCTCTGAGAGATTATTGTTGTTTTTTTTCTAAATGAACTGCATTCATAGTCAGGAATTTTGAAAATCAGTATTGTCTAGTACTCATGTATTTCTCAGTTTTCAAATTTCGTGATTCTTCCTCTTTGTTACGAACACATAATGAAATATTTATTTCGATCAAAAATATATCATCATTATCTCGAAGCTAGAAAATGAGAAGGGAATTCAGATATAGCTATCTCTCGTGAAATTACCGCGTAAAAACTACTCTAAGCTGTCTTTCAATTCTGATTTGTCTATCAGCGTTGGTATTTGCAACGATGTAAGTGACCATGCATGGAAAAGCAAAGTTTCACAGTTTTGGGAAAACATTTTTTTTTGTACAGGGTGGCCAACTAAGACTCCAGAATTCGATTTCTCTGTTGTCTTGGGAGACACAAAAAAAATTCATGAATCAAAATTGAATAAATAACCGAGCTTCACATTTCAAAATTTTTTTGAAATACACAGGGTGTTCCGTAAGGTCACAGCACATCAAAGCTATGTTTTTTTCCTTGGAACACCCTATATTTTTTTTCATTCTTGAATTTTCCCTGAAGATCTGATTTGAACGACTAATCATACTTAGGGTCTAGCAGTTTTTTTTTTTTTTTTTATCGATTGGAGCGCACGAAAGGGAATCCCTATAATGTTCAAAGAACATCGTGCGTTCCTAGGGAGGATAGGGACAGGAGGTAGGTATTGGAATTTTTTTTGAATTTTTGGAGATTATATGTTGTTGGGAATACTTCCACAGGCAATGAATTCCAGAGCCTAGCCGTTCTATGGATGAAGGAGTCTTGATAAAGTGCTGTTCGACATCTTTCGAGGTTGACAACGAAAGGATGTGCTGACTGGGCTTGTCTAGTTCGTCTGATTGGTATTGCTAGTGAAGGGATGATTGCAGAGATTTCCGAAGAACATTTCCCGTGGAAATATCGATAGAAAAGTGAAAGGTCGCCGACCTTTCTACGGTGTTCCAATGATGTCAAAGAGTGAGTGAGTGTGGCGTCACCCACCAGGCGAATGGCTCTTCTCTGGATGGAATCTAAGAGCATCAGCGTATGTTTTGGTGCTGAACCCCATATGTGGGAACAGTATTCTAGAACAGGCCGTATCTGCGCTTTGTAGATCATGAGAAGCTGTTGAGGTGTAAAGTAGCTTTTCGCACGGAACAAGAATCCGAGTTTTTGTGAAGCAGCTTTTGCGATGGATCTGACATGATTATCCCATGAAAGAGTGTTGCTGATGGAAATACCGAGCATAGATATGGTGGGCTTGGTGGGAATCGTGGAGCCAGACATTACAATATCGGGCATACTGAGTTCCGCCTTTCTAGAGAAAATGCAGGCTTGAGTTTTGGTGGCGTTGAATTCAACTAGGTTGTTCGTTCCCCAGGCTGTGATTTCAGCAAGATCTTCATTGACAGCATTGACCTGCCTGCGCCGTGAGTTCTTAGTTTCGTGGGAAGAAATGGGAATTCTGGAAGAGAACGTGAAAGTTACTGACATAATGGGATGTGCAAAATCGAGATTTTCCAAGTTCAGGATTTTTTTCTGTCAAATCTGTTCATTATTCGTCAAAACAGTTTACATGTCCCTACATCTCAACTTTTCACTCACTATCAATTGGTGTTCAATTGAAATTGATACAAGGTGATCAAAAAATCTAAATTTATAATGTGTTTCAACTAAATGTCAATTGAACACCAATTGATAATAAGTGAAAAGTTGAGATAGGGACATGTAAACCGTTTTGACGAATAATGAACAGTTACGACAGAACAAATTCCTGAACTTGGAAAATCTCGATTTTGCACACCCTATATGTCAGTAACTTCCACTGCTAGACCCTAAGTATGGTACGTCGTTGAAATCAGATCTTCAGGAAGAATTCAAAAATGGAATAAAATATAGGGTGTTCCAATGAAAAAAACATAGCTTTGATGTGCTGTGACCTTACGGAACACCCTGTGTATTTCAAAAAAATTTTGAAATGTGAAGCTTGGTTATCACTTTAATTTGAATGCAAAATTTTTTTTTGCATCTCTCAAGACAACAGAGGTATCGAACTCTGAATTCTTAGTTGGCCACCCTATACATTGAGAAAACTTGGCCAGGTAAATAGTTTTATTGAGAAAAAGTCGATTGTGACGAAAACATTCTCACCCACGGTAGAAATATAACGTAGTTGAAGTTGGCAAAACGATATTTCTGGAACAATGTTTCTGCTGCTAATCATAAGTGAACACTGATCTAGTGCTAGGTTAATGAATACTCTCCATTATTACATTATTTTTCTGAGAGAAAATCACTTGGTCTTATCAGGTGAATAATGAATCTATGCCGCCCTTTGGCCATGTTCTGCGATACGTCGAATAAATTGTGACGTCAGTTTTCATGCTGTTTTGTTATTGGTCACATGATCTTCCATGCCCTTTCATGAAGCAAGGTTGTCGAGTCACCAATTATAATCAAGTTATCGAGAAACATGTAGAGTCCTAGCGGTGATGGATTGATCATAAAAGGAGGAAGCCATGATATTATAGTTCGTTTTTTACTTTTCCGAGCATTCAGCATGTCAAAATATTTATTATACTCTAGTTTTGGAGACTTGGCAATATGTGCAGAATTCTGAGAACTAATGAGAAATTTTGATACATCGGAATTTTTATTGCTCATTAGGAATTTTACCATGACATAACTGAGCATTTATTAATTATTTAATAAATAATATTTCTGATTCTCCCAATCGTATTTCAACATATACAGGGTGATTCACATAATAATCGACATAGAGCAGGGGCATGTAGGGGGTCCCAAAATATGGCAATTTAACGCAAAACTTACCTTTATACCAAGTTGCTTCCCTAAGAAGTTATAGGCTTTGAAAGTGAAGTTATAAATTTTGAAAAAAACCAATATCTTCGTTATTCTTGAACTAAAAGCAACCAAAATTGATACAGTTTGTGGATGTATTTAGGGCGTTACTTGACAGTAACTAGAGCTTAATTGAAATTTGTAAAGGGGGTCTACCGGGTGGCGCACCATTAATATTCAACAGAATTCTGTTAACCCTTGATGGATTTCAAAAATCTTTGCTTTGTTTTGTGGGCAATTCAATTCTAAAACTTTTCTTAGTCCAGTAATTTCTTGAAACACCTCATCATTTTCATCAAAAACTCGAATAACTGAAAACGCGCGCTCTAGTTGTGTTATTTAAAATCGTCGAAAATTCAAAAGTTGGCTATGAAAATAAACGTACAACAAGAAAGTAGGTCATTTTTTGTGATCAGTAGAAACTGGCTGGCAAATTATTATTTAGATACGTAACAAAATACGTAAAATAAGTACAGATACTGAAATGTGAAAAACTGGGATTAACAACTAACCAAAATAAACACAAAAAACTTGAACAGCAACCAGAACAAACAATTGTTTATCGATGAATTACTCAATTGAACAACTTACTTGCTTCATTGTCAAGTTTGACGTTTATTTTCATAGCCAACTCTTTCGCGTTTTCAGTTATTCGAGTTTTTGATGAAAATGATGAGGTTTTTCAAGAAACTACTTGACTAAGAAAAGTTTTAGAATTGAATTGCCCACATAACAAAGCAAAGATTCTTGAAATCCATCAAGGGTTAACAAAATTCTGTTGAATATTAATGGTGCGCCATTCGGTATACTCCCTTCACAAAATTCAATTGAGCTCTAGTTACTGTCAAGTAACGCCCTTAATACATCCACAAACTGTATCAAATTTGGTTGCTTTAAGTTCAAGAATAACGGAGATATTGATTTTTTTTTTAAATTTATAACTTCACTTTCAAAGCCTATAACTCCTCAGGGAAGCAACTTAGTATAGAGGTAAGTTGCGTTAAATTGCTATATTTTGGGACCCCCTACATTCCCCTGCTCTATGTCGGTTCTTATGTGAATCACCCTGTATATAGCAACTATGTTATGGTCTGTCCCTACTTATGAAATCGTGACGGCACAGTTCTTATTTGCGGTATGGAATTAGAAGGTAATTGAGAAATCATTCTATTTGAGAAATAAAAAAAATAGTCCACTCACCTAAACATCCGCTCTTGGTTTGCTAATAACTGTCTTGATTTTGCAAACAATATACAGAGTGTCCCAAAAGTCATGGATCAAAAGACGTGGAGTGGTAGGGCAAGGGGCATTTCCGATAAAGCTAACCGTGAATGTTGTTTTGATTCTCTTTCATTTCCATGAAAAAATGCTATCACAATAAAACTATGTCCCATTTGGTATTTTTTTTAAGAATTCCATCCGCATAGATGCACCTTTCTCCAGAAATAGTTTTATGACCTATTGTGACT